TATGATAAACTGATTCCCCCCCCTTTTTTTTCTTTTAGTAAACGTTGGCTTTTAGCCCCCTTTGAATTGTCAGAGTATTTTGATACAAAATACTCTGATCAGAAAAAAACTGAATGTATTGATTAAAGCACAAAATTTTAACAGCTTTAATTGTATTTGAACAATACCTTATTCATTAATTTTCTCTTTTCATATAAGCAAGTTTATTACAAAATACAAATTGTACTTCGGGTTCGTTGCCACGATGTTCTCGGTAAGGAATATACAAATTATAATAAATTTATAAGGGAAACCTGTTAATTAGTCTTTCGATGTATAAATATGTTCACAATTTATATTATTATCAAATGAATGATCTTCCATTATTTCAATGACCATTCACACAACAGCTTTTTTTATATTCATGCAGCTATAATCGCCTCGTTTTTCTTTTTAACATCGGGCTCGATGCTATATGATGTTCTAGAAGTTTCCCTCAATACTAAGATCGGTGAATGACGAAAATAATTTCCCTTTTCAATTGGTTATCACAACTTATTTCTTTTATATAATTTCAATCAATGTTTAAATTGAATAATTCAGTGATGAATTTTCGTTTTATGAAATAAATAAATGATTGTTTGTTGTCAGTTTCATTAAAAATTGCCAGTAACTTAGACCCCCCCAACCGGAATCGCCACCGTACTCACGTTTTTGCTATTTCATGTCTGTTTATAAAAATGAAAGTAAACTTTTAATTTAATGTAAGATACCTACTATGCGAGTGAAATCTAAATATAGTTTACGGACATCATCTTGTATCTAGTGTATTCATAGAGGAGTTAGTAAGTGCTCTGGTGCACCCGTTTCGGAGTTTATTTGCAAAATTTATTAATCTATGAATTTTACTTATATTATTTATTAATTTATAAGTATAGATAAGGCTCGGGTAAAACTGAATAAAAAAAAGAAGAAAACCGGGGAAATTGACAAGGGAAAACAAAGTTTATCTTTCTTCCTACCAAACAAATGAATATAAATATATTCATGAAATATCTCTAGAATGTTGTAAACCGGTTTAGAGAATAAACATATTCCTGTTCTTTCTTATAGGTGAAGCATACCTAAACATTATATTCTCTCTGTATACAATATAAACTCAAAAAAATTATTAAGACAGTAGTATATAGGTTATGACTTTTCCCAATTTGTCCACTTTTGAGAAAATTGGGTTAGTTCACCAAATTTTTAACGAAAACGAGGCCAATTTTTGTTGGCTGTGCAACAAGTATTGTACATAACGTAAAATCGAAGGGGTCTTTTTCAAGGGATAAAGGGTCTCATTGGATACATATAAATACAAGATTATAATGAAGTACAGAGACTTAAGATCATTTACAACGATTATGCGACTAGGATAAGGCTGTCCAAAGAATGTCACAGTATACCAGCCGAAGTAACTTCGCTGAACTACCTAGATATGACGTCATAATGGCATATGACGTCAAGTCACTGCAAATTTGAGCAGACATGACGGGGAAAGTGTCATAACTTTTACATTCCTTTCATGTTTAATTCATGTGCTTTTATTGTTGTTTTAAGGCTGTTATGATGGTGAATATTTGCAGTATAATATCGTTATTCCTTTTTCTTGTATAACATGTACGTATTCAATCAATTACGAAAAAGATTGTGAAATGCTCTCCCTTACACGTGCTGAGACAGAATTAGAATTTATAAATCTTATATATATTAGACTGGCACAAGTGAATAATAAGGATTAATTGAAGATATTCTGTATGAATCTACTAGAAAAATATGTCCTCTAACTGAATTTTGCTGGGGGATTGTATGTAATTTTTCCCATTTTGTATGAATTGCGATGAAGAGTGGAAAATGACCCCTCGTATGTGGGTAAGTTGAATTTCTCGTTCAATATATTCTTAAGAAATAAAATTCAGACTTGCCCCCAGCACTTTATATCACCCAAGAATACGTTTAATTGATTTATGTAACAAGCTGTTCAAAAAAAATTTGTTTTTCACTTGTGCCGATTCGATTTTTGTGCAACATTTAAGAAAATTTATAAGTGTCCTTCATGTGATCAACACAGTCATGTGACATCACAAATGCTTTTTTATAATACCTTATTCAACTCTCTTTACAACTTCACTGTGTATGTGTACATAGATTACAAGTTAAAATCAAAACATAGCTCAAAGTAAAATAATATATATCTAATCGATATTAAGCTGCGTATACCTTTTTTACTGGGATATTAGATTCTTATATACAGGGAGTCATGCTGGGATTCTTTGTTGCAGGGTGCTTTAGGACTGGCTTGGCTCCTTGCACTTGGTACCGAAACAAAATTCTTATTGTATTGAGTACTCAGTGCCTCACCTTGTGTCTTACCACAAATCCTTCATTTACCATATACCTGTGCTGCGTATATCTGCCCTAGCCTTAACAATTCTCTTTTCCTTTATTACATCTTCATTAATTTCCCTTATTGTTTTCTTTACGTCTTCCGACTTCCGACTTCAAGCTTCTTCATGGTTGATGCTCCTTCTGCAGCCTTTGTTATAGCAAAGTGTAATACCTATCCAAAGAGGGGTAAAGAGGACCATGGACAAATGGATTGGAAGATATAGGCCCATTTAAACATCCCTTACTCAGTACAATATATCTTAGATATCAAAGTTACATATTACAATCATAACATTCACTTGAATACGTGAGCAGAATGCATGTATTTTTATTAAGCATTGGATCATTAATTTTTGGCGGGTTATAAGAATTTGTTTGCACACACGGTTGCAATTATGAGACTACATTTTTCAAAAATATAATAATTCAATGCTTATATTCACATCTTTTAAAACATTGCCTTGTCTGCAAACTTGATTTATATTTCAAAATCCCTGTATTTTTCTTCGGGTAACTTACTGAAAGAGCCATTCCAACAGCTATATTACAATGTGAGCGCGAATTTTGATTTTCGGTTGTGACATTCCAATTGGATGGTGTTCAACGTTTGTGACGACAAAGTAAAAATCATAACTTAACCTTTTGACCGCCCGATCCGTGTTATGGTGTATTGTATGCCGAAGCTCTTATTACTAGGGGTTTAAATATGAACTTTAAGTTTCGATGAAATCATGTTAAAGCTTAATTGTCTCATATTAATATTTCTTTTATTTATTGCTTTTGACTTAAAAATATAAATCTCTTTCTGGACAGAAAAGAAATCATGGACTATTCTAAATGCAGAAAGATTTATGTTGGTTTAGATTGTTGTCTCCATTCATAATAAGTTTAAAAGTGAATGAAATGATAATTGTATATTATTGAAACTTTATATAAGAGTTTGCCTTAACATCTAACATTTTGGACACTTCATGAAAAAGTGAAATGCAGCTTCAGAACTACTTCCACACATGTCACAATTTTAATTTTCCTCTAAAAATCATGAAGAAAAATCAGCATTAACCATATCAAATACATCCTGCAAAAAATTAATAAGCAAATACTATGTCCAATTTCAACTGTAAAATATATATGAAATATGAAGATAACGAACAGTAATCAAGCTCAAAAGTCAATATAAACAATACAAATCAGGAGAGGAGCAAACACAGCCTTGTAAAGCATCAGAGGTGGGATCTGGTGCCGTGAAGGAGTAAGCATCCCCTGCAACATCTGCCGAGTGCTCCTTGTCATGATGGGGAAAAACGGAAAGATCCGTTGACAATTCAGTGTTTAAATAATGGCCTAACAATGAGTATGAAAGACGTCAGCCAGCATTCCACTTAATGACAGATTGTTTTTGCTGACAAGGTCATTGTATCGACCATAGAATTTACGAAATGATGACTTAAACGAGACTTTCGATATTTTGGTTTCATCAACTTATTTGTCAATAGCTTGCCTCGTTTAAGAAATCATTCGCACGTAGAGCATGCTCTTGCGTATCTAATCAAATAGGAGACACAAACTCCATATGCAGGTGATAAGGGTATATTGCTTCATAAGTAGGGATGCATTACCTAGTATTTACTAAATTTACTGTGTTACGGTTCCTATTAAATTTAGTTTCATTTTAATACCTGTGTCCTTACAATCAGTTTAGTACAGGGGATGTTTACTCCTCCTTGGCACCTGATCTCACCTCTGGAATTTCCGGGGGTTCGTGTTTTATGCCTTTTTCACAGATTTGTATTATTTGTAAATTTTTTGAGATCGATCCCTGTTTATCATCTTCACCGTTTTCATTTAGAGGAATGGCACTGTAATAATGAGTTTGAATTTATATTACTACTGCTGTATATATTAAGCATACTAAAAACAAACAGATATATATGTATTCAATACAAATGATTAATAAACATTTTTTTTTTTTTGCAAAAAAAGCCAAATCAAGAGTAAAATATTATAATATAATCTTAATTAAAATATTATAACCCTTTACTGAAACTAAATCAGGAAGCATATGATTGACAGGGACTAAGTATTAAATAAATCGATACCTGGTAACAAAATTACAAATCACATACATTTGTTCACTCCCCTGAGATGAAATATGAAGATCAATTTTAATCTTTATTCATGCATTTAATCTAATAAATATATTCATGCCTACATATCTACATATTTTTTCCTTTATATATTCCATGTATGCCCTAATGAATTTTATAGTGCCGTGTAATTCTTGCATCCACAAAAGGAGGACTGTTTAGCACCAGATTTTGACACAAGAACATCGAAAACGTGCATATTTTCTATTTATCTCCACTACTTTAAAATTTGTTAAATTTATTTACAAGAGTAAAGTGATTTGACATGGTTATATAATTTGCAGAATTACGAGACTGCGCACATTTGCAAAATATTTACATAATTTAGAAAGGATTTAAATTGTGTGGTGTCACAATGATCAATGTAAATTTCAGTGTCTCCAAAAATGAATGACGAAAATGAGGTCGATTTTTGTTGGCTGTGCAACACGTTATATCATGAATGGCATCTAAAATTCATTGAATTTATGCACATTTCTAACGACAACGGAACAGGAAGATATCAAATTTCAGAATGTTTATATAGCAATGAGGTGGATAACAAGAAACAATACTATAGATATGGCGGAAAGTGGAAGATCTTTCTTGTATACATATGAGCAAGATAGAACTTGCAAAAAAGGTAAGTATTAGGTTGCATTTTGTACATGTACATAAATTCCGAGAAATATACGATATATATGGAATTTTATGAAAGTTCATAGACATTTTTTGCTGCTCTTTTTTTTTTTTTTTTAGATATAATGTCTAATCATGGTGATGATATAATTTCAACCATTTATACTTGGGGAAAATTGTTCTTGAAAAGCTCCTCTATTGTGTGTGTGTGTGTGTGTGTGTGTGTGTGTGTGTGAGGGTATGTGTGTGTGTGTGTGTTTAATGACCCATTCAAGATTTCCATTGAGCTGATCTGATGATTATTCGCAATAATTTTAAATTAAAGTTCAATTCAATTTTGAAAAAATAGTTAAACAAATTTAATTTTTTTTAGGGTCATGTATCACGTGCCTTTATGGTTACTAAATCCACAGTGTCCTTAAAATCTATTTATTCATTTTAGTTTATCTCTTCACATTTCTAAAATTTTCCAAAAAGACAAAATTGATGTATAACTCTGGTGAATTATTAATGCATTAAAAATAAAGTGTATATGTGCTTGGATGAATATGTTTTTTTTTTTTTATGTTAATTTCCAAAATTTAAAGAAAATAAAAATCTAATTCTGTTTTTTTACGCAATACAGCAAACTTAAATCAGGCACAAGTCGCAAAAGAAGATGATTCCCCCAGCAAGGACAGTAAACATTCTGCAACAAAAGACAAAGAAAGGAGTACTGAAGATAGTGATACAAGTTCCAATAGAGTTTTTGGTCTTCTGGATGGCGGTAGTTTTTCCAATGAAAATACAACTGCTTCGAACTTCAATCAGTCCACCCAAGCACAGGTCCCAATAGTTCATTATTCCCATAGCACGGGGAGCAAACAACTTACAGCAGAGGACAATGAAAGAAAGCCTGAAAACTGTGATACCAACTCGGAAAAGGGTTCGAATCTTCTATATGTCCGCAGTTCTTCCAGTGAATGTTCAACTGCTTCAAAATCGCCAAAGTCCCAGGAAAAATCGTCAGCGATGGAGGTTAGCCGTAATGTTTACTGCAGTATTCCTAAGGAGGATAAATATAAGTGTTCAATTACGTGTATAACGGCGTTAGAAGATGGCGAGTTGGTCGTTTATGATGAGGTAAATTTTAAACTTAAAGTATTTGATAGTTCTGGATATTACATTGGTTCTATAGAAAACATTTACAATTGCCGGGATATAACAGCAGTTGATAGCAAACAGTTTGCCATCACTCAAGAAGGTAAGGAATTGCTGACTATTTTCTTAATGCGTGGAATCCCCAAAAATCCCAAAGGAAAACAAATTTCTCTGCCTGGGAAAGGATACCACTGCAAATACGGCAGACAGCATTACGCTGTGACGTGTGATGTCAGTGATGATAGGTCTCGTTGTCTTATTATCATGGACGCCAAGGAAAGACAGGTCTTCAAGAAAATTCCCAATATTTCTGTGGCGCAGATGGAAATAGATCCAAATCATGATGTTGTATATGTTTCAGATACCAAAAACAAAACTCTCACTTGCATAAATTTTCAAGGTGATCAAGTATGGTTTCGAAAACTTGACTGGGCTCCATATGGATTGTGTGTTGTTGCAGACGATTTCTTATTTGTGTCTAGTACAGACAAACAGACAATATTCAAATTTCAATTTCGTGCAGAACTCTGGGAAGAATGTGCAGATTTTAAATGCACTAGACTTCTTTGTTACAATGCTAAAAAGAGAATTATGTATGCGACGATTCAGAGGGACGAAACGGAAGTAGTTAATAGCGTCCATATTTTAAAAATCAATAAAAAGAAACTGATCAAGAAGTGATTCAAAAGGACATTGAAATTTTTCTCGCATCAACAGATGAAAAAACTATTCAAAGACTCTCATTACAAAATTAAAACCAAAATGAAATATTTATGCAATTATATGTAAGCAATTTCTACCTTGGTGGAACAAATTAAAAGGTGATAATATTTATACGGAATGCAAACATACATCCGTTATGCATGTACGCCCAGATAAACGAAACACGGGGAAATTGATAAGGGGAAACCCCAAGTTTCTTCTTCCTACCAAACAAATGAATATAGATATATACATGAAATATCTCTGGAATGTTGAAAACCGGTTTAGAATAAATTAACATATTCCTGTTCTTTATTTTAGGTGAAGTATAACTTAACATTATGAAACTATCTGCATGTGTACCATATTAAAGGTAGTCCGATCCTCGGGTTCTGAAAATCAGGAGTTTGGTAATTGAAAATGCTCACAAAAATGTCCCTGTATTTACCAATTGTGTTTCCTAAAATTTCATCATTAAAGTTAAAAACATTATATAGGGAAAATTATCAAATCTCAAATATATTATCAGGAAATGCATATAAAAGCACCCACTATGCATTTTTTAATTGAAAATTGATCAAAAATATAATTTAGGATAAAAAATTATAGGTATCCAGACATTTGGAGAAAATTGCATGTTTTCTTTTTTTTTACTTATATGTCTTTAGTTCTTCTATTTACTTCAATTGGTATACAATACATAGTGTAAAACATTTGTGCTATCACTGTAAGACATCACAGATCATTTCTAATTTCATATCATGCTAATAAACATTGGTATCTAAGGCTAGATTAAAGGAAATTCGATTTCTGAAATAATGTATTTATTTTTGTACTTTTATAGGGTACAAATGTCAACTTTTTACAAGACCGTTTCCGAGACTTTGAATCATACTGAGACGCAAGAAACGAAAATTGTTTCATGAAAAGATATCAATTTCAAGCTTAATTTTGAGACTTTCTAAATTAAATAATAATTTAAAGAGTTATATTTCCTTTCTGAGAATCGGATATCCTTAATGTAAAAAGTTTTAATAAGACACTAGTATATAGGATATGCCATTTCCTACTTCGTCAGCTTTTAAGAAAATTTTTGTGTATTTAAGGAATTAATTTAATAGCTACCTAAGTTATACTATATAACCTGGGTTTGGGAAGTTTACGATTTATAAACCGCGATGCATAGTATCGGAATTGGCTGTATCATATGATAGGCTAGCGTAAAGTACAATCTACATAAAATTGACAAAAAGCTACGCGACCTCGGTCAGGTCACCTCATGGGCCACGTCTCGGGACCTTATTTCACCAAGTTGACCTCATAAGGGGTAACTGATTGTAAAATAATATACGTAGTATTAAAGAGTCGGGAAAAAATCCACCAACAGGTCGCCAGTCGGCTGTTACGTTAGAAAAAAAAACTATGCATGAAAGGAACGTAAAATGTGATAATTTTTGTACATGTATTAACAAGGACATATACCCGCCGTATAAATTAAGGTAGGTCGCGGTTTTACTGCTTAAAAATTCTTACTAGAAAACATATCCTGAAAAATTGATGCAATGTACCTTAGAATATATAGCATTTTATCTGTAATTTTTATCGAATTTGTCTACGTAGTTTTAATGCTGTATAACTGCAAACGCGGTATAGTTTTTAGTACTATTTTTACGCTTTACTATTGAAATATATAGAAAAATGACGTTTTTAAGCCAATTTTGCGGAAAGAGTTTCTTTAAGAAAGGTTGGATAACTTTTTAAAGACGTAGACGAATTAGTCAGGGATTTCAAAATATCCAGATGAGGTAAAATTAAAACTATTGAGATAAAAAAAAAATCCATATGTCTTCTCGCTAGTTTTTTTGCAAAATATTTTCAAAGTTTGCTTTTATATTGCCAAAATGTTGCGTTTACACTAGACAAAATTGCTAACGCACCACCTAAATAAATTAACATTTTTCTTTTCAAAACTTGTTTATGATGTTTTTGATATATGATTATGTTGCTTTAATAAAAAATGAGACATTTAAATGCTTTAACTGATAAATAACAACAATGTTTACTGAAGCGTAACCACTTCATAGAAAAAATTAAAATCCCTACTTTTTTGGTGGAATAAATTTTAAATTTTTTCGTTGTGGTTGTGTTCTTTATGTTTGTACTAATTAAAAAATCAGAAAAAAAGTTACACTGTATGCGGCGTGTGACTCTAGAAGAGCGTGCTAAGGCAACCAGTATGGTGTCTGCAGGGGGGTTCCTTTGAAGAAATTTGTGAAAAATTGAAAGAATTAAATGATTATGAATTTCTCTGGTGAAAAATTGTTGAAAATGAATTAACGATCATAAAAATGTTTACAATAGATATCGACGGCATTAAGTGAGCACTACACAATAATTTCAAGATTGTTCCACAAAATTGGGGCAACCGAAAGTTGGGTGGATTTGGTAGGGACACCAAGGTACTGGATGACTACTAAGCGATATGGTAGTCAGTCAGGGTATATCATTTGATTTTTAAGTGGGAGACTGCTCCCGTCGCAACCTCACGGACCACCTTCGATAATCACCAACTTCATATCTTGGCAAAAACGGCACGCAGTGCACGTCGGGAAATTGGTTTTCGGACAAGAAGGTCCTTTAAGGGTCTTGACATGACACCAAGACATTTGTCAATCGAACTGTTTTGGAAAAAATGGCATATTTTATATACTAGTACCGATCAGGAAAATGATCGATTCACAAATAAGAATAATAAGTGGTGCGTTAGCAATTTTGTCTAGTGTATGGCGTTATTTATGACTACAGCGTCATGTGTTGAACGTAATAATTATCACGTTTACATACGAGTATAAATACTCGCATCTTTACATTTGGAATATGCAAGATCTAAAAGGTAACATAGTTGCAAAATGTAATTTTATTCATCATTTCACCTATTGCGGAAACATGTTAGGATGACCAGCAACTTATTTACACTAATATTGTAAAATTCATATTCTGCCCACAAAGTCAAAATGAACGGTATATTAAACATTTCTCGTGTATTAGAATTAACATGCAGCGAAAAAACAGAGAGTGATAAAATATTAATTCATGTATTTTTAGGATGTTCATGTTCAGTAAGATTTCAGACATAACACATGAATTTGATCACTGTATTCGAAAACGGTGAAGAAAAAACATCCCAATACTGAGAAAAATGGGTGGGGGTGGGGGGTTTACCGGCAATGTTCTTTCTATATTTTCGCAAGCTGGTATATAGCCCTAACTATCAAACATTTCTTAATTTCGAATTCTCTCAATCAAATTTCAATACGCAAAATGTAAAACACTTGCATTTAGCTTATACACCGAGAGCTTTTCTTATATAGAAAAAAATGTACTTGATACTTGCAAATTGTTTACATTGTCATATAGGTCTGATAGTCCGTGTGTTTGTTTAAATTTATTTTTTAAATGCATTTCACAATTTGTTAGCCTGCATATACCGGTACATAGCGACTACAAAAGACTCAAATACAAAATAAACAGATAATAATTATGATGATTGAAATAATAATAATAAATAACAGGAAAATACATGTACTGTAATTAAATTTTATCCTTTTTAAGTGTTGAGGATTGATTCCATCCTGAAAAAGTTTCTCCCCGGCAAATATGGTGTAATACGCACTTCCCTTTGAAGTGCAAATTACGTGCGCACATACAACTCTTCAAGTTTTTGGCTAAGAAATTTACGCTAATTTTCTTTTTGCATACCATAACTTTTACGCTGACTCATTTTGATTGACTTTTAGCAGTTTAGTAACACTTACAATATAAATTATTCCTTTCATTTGGTATTGTATTTAGTTTGTTCTAAGATATTACACATAATCACATCAGAATTCAGACTGTCATTTAATAATACCCGATCTTGGTTCATACATGTTCGAGGTTTACGTGCAATAGCATGCACTTTGAATTAATCTATACTTGATTCGTACCTGTAGACTATTTATGAAGTTATTTTCAGAGAATTATACGGGAAACAACGCAACGTCGCCTTTGTGACTAACTGACGTCATAATCAAATGTGCACAAAACAACAGCTCGAATCGTCGAAATTGTGTACCAAATTGATGACAAAAGCAAACCCGCGACCTACCTTAAGTCATCTACGTAGCTGTTACAGTATCTATATTTAGATACAACTCGGTATTTGAATGTCAATGTAGGTAATGCATGTAATTGCGAGTTTCTGCAACACTCTCTTTGATAACATTTGGTCTTGACATATAACTTGATTTATAGTTAATATTTGGGAACATACAATTTTTGTTCATCTTTTCACATGTAACAGCATAAATACAGCAAAATCAGTATCCTATATCGCTTTAATACAAGGGGTTTATTCTACTATCTGTATCAGTGCCATTTCAACTTCCAGTTTCAATTGGTAACATATAATTTGAAGTTCTGAAACTAACTAAAAGCCGTCTCTTCTGATGATATAAAGTACAATCTACATAAAATTGATACCAAAATTAAAATTCGTGAATAGATTACATGTATATGTCACACTTTTGAAGAATTAATGCAATTTGATTCAAAACCTTATTGAAACTGATCTAGTCATTTTTGTTTTAAACTTTTGATTAGTTAAGTACTATTGAATGATTTTTTCTTACTCCATATAATTATATATCCATAATCGTCTAAAATTGATCAATTCTTTAACCACTAGTATCATGACCATTGTCAATTTTAGCACGTAGTAGCCAATACATTAAACAGAAATTTTTTAATTGCTTTCCATTTTTTTTTCACATGCGCAGCAATTCTTGTTTTGATATGTACAATTAAATGTGCTCTGTCTAATTCATCATAAAATTTGGAAGAAAATGGTTTTAGATGAAAAAGCAGTTTACATAAATTTAGATGTACTCTTTCTATAACTTGAACATTACCATCACTTTATATCTCACAACCGTATAACAATATTGAACGGGTAAAGGATACTAACTTTGCTGTATTTATGCTGTAACATGTAAAAAGATGAAAGAAAATAGTATATTCCCAACAATTATATGTCAAGACCCAATGTTATCAAAGAGAGTGTTGCAGAAACTCGCAATTACATGTATTACCTACATCGAGAACATTTAAATACCGAGTTATTTCTAAATATAGATACAGCTAAGAAGATGACTTAATTTTTACGGTGGGTATGTCTTTGTTGATGCAAAACACATCATGCATAGTTTTTTCTAACATAGCAACTGACTGGCGAACTGTTTATGGATTTCTTTTTGCGACTCTTTCGACACA